GAAGAAGAAGAAGAAGAAGAAGAAGAAGAAGAAGAAGAAGAAGAAGAAGAAGAAGAAGAAGAAGAAGAAGAAGAAGAAGAAGAAAGGCTCTGACCTCTCACAGCACCCATACACTTCCTTTGGCCAGTTTTACTCCGGTGTCTTTAGGGAGACACTGTTTGTCTTTACACATGGCATAACATGGCTGTCAGTTTCTTCTGCCCACAGTAGAGAGCAGGAGCAATGGGTTTTAGGGACAGAAACGGCTCCTAACTCTGGGGGGGGAGATGGAAAAACTATAACATAGACAGACAGGACACATTTCTAAAAACAATGAAAAATGTTCCTTAAACATGTTCAGGGTACAAGCAAAATCTCTGGACTACATTGTATCCCAGCAAAGCACCACCAGGATGACAGTTACTATTCCTGCTCTGAATCTACAAGGAAAAGTCGTCTCTGGTCCACAGACCCTGCTAAAGAAAACGAAGTAACCAAAACATATGGACAAGGCTTTGCTGGGCCTGGACAAGCCTGCTCCGCACTACCAAGCTTAAGCTATCTGGAGGTAAAGGAAGGCACTTATGTTCAGAAAAAGCAAGCTCTCTACTACTGTGCACCTTCCCTAGGGAATGCCAATACCACAAGACAAATCTGTGAAGGTCTGCTACCTCCCAGAGATGTTTTCACCAAATGTGAAGTTACTGAAATCACCTCACAATTCAGTCCACAGCCAGGTAGGTCCTCATCTTGACTTCCTGGAGATGGCCAGTGGGAAGGCACCTTCCTGACATGCAGAGGGCTGATGCTGAGAAAGCAGGTTCTGGATAATAGGGGAAGACTGCTACTCCTCACTGCTAGAGCACCTGCAGGTCTGCACCCCCTTCAGCTGACATAAATGCAGGCATGCGCACTGTAGGCACACACCACAGTCTATCACCCAAAGGACCATCAGACACCTTCCCGGACCCTCTTTATAAACACAGCTAACACAAGGCATCCCACTTCAAGACTCAGCTCCAGCTCAGGCAGAATCCTGATGAGGACCCTTTCTCTTCCTTCTCAATAGAAAACAAAGATGACTGTTAATTTAACTCAGCTCAGCTCAAAGACACTATGCGTCTAAAAACAATTCTGTTTATCATTCTAAGTCAGGGCAGCCACTACTTACCAGTCATCCAATTAACTTGTTTAGAGAAAAAAAGATCCCTGTTCCGGATACTACTTTCCAAATATCCGACAAACTTCTATTTCTATATTTTTATACGTCAAACTTGATTGTAGAGAGAAACAAATAACAAATTTTAATGTCAGATTTTAAAAGGGGCAATTATGTTGTACTGAACAAAACTACAGGTCAGACAATATGTCTGCCATTATACAATAAGTCTCCTCAAATGATTTAAGAACAAAGCCGTCAATAATTACACAAAGATACTGCAAAGGGCTGAGCCAAAGGAGACCAAACCCACCAGCCAGTAAACTGCAAATGTGCCCTCAAAATCTTATGGAAGTCAAAAATTCCAGTAAAAATAACAGAAGAGATGGAAACACAAGTTTCTTATTATCACACTTCATATGTTATAAAACAGAACGGCTAACTTAGTTTTGGCAAAGTGATTAGGGATTGCAACACTCTGGCTTTCATAGACTCCCTTGATTGTCAAATGCATCTCCAATGGAGCATGTCATGTTAACTCCAGGCATGCAGGCACTGTGCTGTCTTAAAGACACTGAAATTTCAACACTTCAGCATGGATCACACCACCAGATTAACAGGCCCAGGTGTTTAATGGTTGAGAGGCGGAATGCAGGGGTGGAGAATGTCAACAATGCAGATAATTGAAACCAGATAAAACTTCTTTAAAAAAATTATTTATTTGTATGAGTGTTTTGCCTGCATGTACATCCATATACCATGCACATGACTGGTGCCTGCAAAGGTCAGAAGAAGGTGTCAGATTCCTCTGGATCTAGAGTTACAGATGGTTGGGAGCTACCATGTGGGTTCTGAGAATTGAACCCAAATCCTCTGCAAGAGCTACAAACATTCTTAACCGCTGAGCTGTCTCTCTAGCCTTAGATAAAGTAATTGAATGATTAAAAACACAAAATTGTATAGGTGACTTCTTTACCTCCCCAAATGTGCCTTGTATACAGAGTGACACATATTATTTTCTAGTATAGACACCCATGTCCGTGTGTGCCTCCTTCTGCATGTATGTGGTATAGGTATGTGTTTCTATGGGCATGTATACACATACATGTGCATGTGTAAGCATGTACATGAGGAGGGCAGAGGTTAATGCTGGTGTCTTTCTCAATTCTGCTCCATCTCAGGTTCGGAGACACTGTCACTGAGTTTGGAGATCACTGGTATGTTGAGGTTGGCAGACTAGCAAACTCCCGAGATCTACCTTCTCTGCTCCCATGGAACTGGGGTTCACACCTGGCTTTTATGTAGGTCCTGGATATTCAAACTCAGGTCCTCATGCCTTGGGGCAGGCACTTGACTCACAGAGCCAGCTCTCCAGCCCCATTAAAGAGGAGGAAATACAGTTTCTCAGCTCTTTGAACCTCTAATCATAATCTATCTTTACACGTGGATTATGTGATGCTCCTGTTTCTCCCCTTCCCCTCCGTCCATCCTTTCCCATCCCCCATCTTAATCCAAGTGTTCACAGGAGACTGCAGCCCTGGGGAAAAACGTGACTAGTTCCTTGTGAAAAGCTCTGCAGTCTGGGACCTAGTGAAGCTGTGATCAGATTTCTGATCAGAAATGGAGATACTAAAGGTGCACCACTTTACACTACTAGTCTGGGGCAACTAAAAACTGAGATACTAAATGTTCACCACTTTACACTACTAGTTTGGGGCAACTAGAAACTGAGATATTAAATGTATACCACTTTATACTACTAGTCTGGAGCAATTTGATACATAGCAGTAGATAACAAATTCAGCAGTTAGCCTAATGACTGAGACGACTCTAGTGCTATTTCCATAATAATAATAATTGGTAATACTTGCTTAGAACCTTAAAATCCCAGGAAAGCTCTTAATATTTTGCATAATTCCTCACAAAATCCTTGAAGAACACATAATTCATAATAATTTGTTGATGGAAAAACTCAATGACTTGTCCAAGTTCACACAAACAAAAAATATTTGAGCCTAAGGGACCATCGAGAGCGAGCGCTCACAGGGACTGTGTGGATAGAAGCACTCACGTGTCCGATGGGCATTAGCAGATGGCAGCCACATGTAGTGTGAGAGGGATTCAAGGACAGAAAAAAAGTAAGTCACACCAATGCGGACATCAAAAGTGAAGCAGCTTCTGAATAAAATGCCTTATCTAAGGAAAAAACTACCACAACTGAGGAGAAGTAAGAGTTCAACAAAGTATGACCTTCAATTTATTGAGTCCACACTTAGACATAAAAATGTATTTTCTTATATCCCAAGGAGAAAATGAAAATCCACTTGGTACTAAAAACCGGAGACTACAGCTGCACTCTCTCCAAGTGCTGCTTTGAGCGCTGAATGAAGCGAGCTGGCAGGGAAGGAGGCAAATTCCTAGTGGGATCCAAGACCCCGCTGGAGACATTTTCTCACATGGGGTGAAAAAATGCAGGGACAGGGCCGCTGAGAAGGCATCCCTTCCTCTGGCTTAGCTGTCCCATCCCTGACACTCCAGGCTCTTAGCTCAGAAACATGCCTTTCCCCTGGGGTGTCCTCAAGATGGCACAAACGTGACTTTATGCCCATGTGCGCCAGATGAAGACATCATCATCTAGTAAACTGTTCCCACTCGATGGGTCATGTCACGATCCGTGAGTTAAAGCGCACTTTTAAGGCTCTTAAAGAGTTCATTCCCTTTTGGGGCACTTTAAGTTGGCCTCTGTGACTTCAGTCCCTCAGTACATAGTACATGGTTGCACTTAAGAGCCAGCTGTCTGAGGCTGTGGGTGTAGCTCAGTGGAAGAGGCTTGCCCATCATGCACTGGGCCCTGAATCCATCCCTAGCATCCTAACAACAAGCATAAAGACAGACAAATAAACAAAATATTTGTGACTGAAAGGATGCACACGTGTCTCAAAAGGGCTAGAAAACTACAGAACAGAACAGAATCTGAACTTACGATCACATCGCATGTTCCACAAAGACAGGCATTTGCCTGTCAATGATGATGACGATAGCACATCATTTTGCTTCTTAAAAGAGATAGGAATAGTTTCTTACTTCAGTTTTTGGGACCATCTGATGCAGTGCCTGTGGAGGCCAGAGAGGTCATAGGATCCCTGGAACTGCAGTTACAGACTGTTGAGAGCCACCATGTGGGTGCTGGGCATCATACTTGGATCCTCTAGAAGAGCAGTCAGTGCTCTTAACCACTGAGCCATCTCTCCAGCCCATGGATATTTTCAAAACTCTCTTTCAATAAAGATGGAGTCCTTTCCATGCCACTGTTAGTAACTGTTCTTAAATATTGTTTCATAAAAGAGAGCAAGTCAAACATAACACTAGAACTCCAGAGAACCCTAGATTCAAAGACATTCATTTGAAAAAAATCTCTATCTTTCCACCATTTTTCACTGGGAAATTATGGGAATTTCTTAAGTACAGGTTTTGGAAATAGAGACAAAGATAAAGGCAGCCACCATGCATCCCTCCCTCTGCTCTACAAAAAAGCTAAGGGAATATGAGGGTTTGGCCAGTGCACAATCAGGCACCCACAGCCATCATCTAAGGCATACTTACAGGCAGCTCAGGAGCATGCTTCATGACCTGAAGAGAAATGTAGCTGCCTATGGAATGGCCAATGAGTATAATCTTCACATCCTTTGGCACGTGAGCTCTCAGAAAGGCTATTTTGTGTTCTATTTGACCATTCAGACCATAGATGTCCTCAATTTCTTGAGCATTTGGCTCTAAAAGCAAAAGTATGAGCGTGTTTTAATTAATAAGTGAACAAGTTTATTAAAGTAGAAAAAGTATCTATAAAAATTCCTGGACTCGAAGAAGTAACTTAACCATTTGTCCTAAGCCTGTAATACACTAGCTGCAGTATTAGACACTTAAATTACAGAAATCAGCCCTTACCGCACAACTGGAGAAGAAGCATTATCTGAAACATCACAACTCACAGACATTATGTAAAGATATGCTGTAGACCCATGAAGTAGGGGAACTGAGATTCAAATGCAGGTCTGTTCTCAAAGCCCAAGAACTTTCAACTATTCCATGAACCACTGTTAGTTTAGGCCAGCAGTTCTCAAGCTTGATCATGTCAGGAATACTCGGGAAGGTCTGGAAAAGATGGCTGGACCCTGACACCAGAGTTTCTGACATAGTAAGTCTTGGTAGGGGTCCAAGAGTTTTCCTTTCTAAGTTTCCAGGAGATGCAGACAAGCTGAGTCTAGGATTACACACTGGGAACCCCTGGGTTAAGCTGACTCATATCCAGTGTACTAAGAAAACACATGCAACTGCTTGACTATGTTGAATAATCTGTGTATATTTAAAGAACTTAAAGACTTAAGTAGAAATCTCAATGTCAACTCATACAGTCATGACCTAAAATGACCTGAAGATACACCCACCAACTGACAGTTCTCACAGGCTTAATTCAATCGAGGCAAACTCCTGGGCTACTGTATTCAGCATTAAAGTACTAGAGAATTGATTCTCTCAGTGATAATGTGCCAAGATTTACTTGTTTTGAAGTTAATGAATTTTGACCATAACTAAAACAAAGCATTTTAAGTTATAATATTCATTTCCAATTTTAAAGTATAAAACAGAATTTTTTAAACATTTTACTAAGCTTCTGTATTGTTGAAATTTTACCTAAGAGGCACACACAATTAATTTGAAAAATACAAAATCTGTTTTTTTAAAAAATGAATAAGATCATGTATTCGTCACTGGACTTAAGAGATGATCTATAAAATATAAAGTTATAAACAAGATAAATTGACATTATTTATCTACCTACAACACTTACCAAAAGCTAGATGAATGCACTAATCTTCAGAGAGTATTAAGAAGAGTTCACATACATAATCATAACCACAATCATTTTAAAACAGACAACAACTATAGCTGATATAATGGAGGTGACCGGAGTACACAGTTAACAAGAAATATCATCAAAACCAGCCTTGACTATCATGTAGATCATTCACGGCATACAGGTTTGTATATTGAAATCTGTATATTAATATCTAAAAGAATCGGGATTATACAATCATAAAGAAAACAAAGGCAAATGCTACTGTATCTTTAAAATAGACAGAGAGGCCTGTAGGAACCAGGAGTGAAATAAGCAATAAGGCTCCTGTCTCCCCACAGCAGGAGACTTGAACTTGACATCTGTAGGGAATTTAAATTATGGACTTCCTCTCACTTATAAAAGCTTTAGGTAAGTAAACATGCTAGAATCCTTATGGGTAGAAAGCAGGTAGCTTGCAATGCTACAGTAACATTTCTTTCCCTCATAAACCATCTAGCACATTACCACACAGAAGCCCAGCTCTCCTTTCTCAAGCTAGCTCCACACAGCAGCAACATACCTCCTGACCTCGCTTCCTTCTGTGCTACTCTGTCAGTTACATGGCTACACTCATGTCCCTCCCCCGCCAGACCCATCCATGCATCAAAACCTCCTTCTATGATCTAATGATCACACCCCCCTTTACCTACAGATGTATTAGAGTGAATCCTTTGTGGGGGAGCACTCTTACAGGGCTACTGCCCGTAAGGGGATCTCAAGAGCTTGGTTCTCTTCCCACTATGATGAGGTGCATAGAAAATGCCTCCATGAAGCAGGCAGTGGAATCTCCTTCCCAGGTATCCATTACCCAGTGTCTTCACCTTGGCCTAAGCTGCCTTGAGAAATTCCGACACATGGGCTGGGGATGTGGTTAGCGGTGGAGTATTTCCCCAGCACCACACAATTCAGGATGTAATTCCCAAGCCTTTACCCTCCCCACCCAAAAGCAGAAAATTATGAGAAATAAATTTGTAAGTTATCTATTCAATGGTATTGTGCCACAGCAGCTCAAGCTATGACATCCATTACTCCATCATGTCTCCTTTGACCTCTACTGTGGGTTTCATGTAACCAGCAGGGCATTCTGTCATGTCGTCATTCTTTGAACAAGAGGGAGAATGTACCTCTAAAGATCTTAGACTCTAAATGTCTTATACTTTTCCTCCAGCATTTCTTCTAGTAGCCTTTGGAAGTATGTTATCAATAAATATATGGCTTGTCACTAGTTAAGAAGTAAAGGTGATTCATACTTAAATTGTTGATCTGCTCAAATTCTTAAGAATATTATCTGCAAAAGACAAACTATCTCTAAAATTATTAAAATGTGGTACCTGGGGTCTAAAATCACTAAACAGAGGTGATCACTTGTAAAATGTGAATGCTAACAGGCTTTCTGGAAACAAGAAGACTCATTCACTGTCAATCAAAAAGGTGTTAAAAAGGACATACCATCTGGTGCTGTAAGAATCTTATCTTTGGGATAAGCATAAGCGATCATCCACATCGGAAAGAGAGAAGTAAAGTAATATTAAAGAAAAAGAATAAGCCACGCAGAGATGGGAAATACACAGGGAGTCTGGATCCTGTATCTTGCTGTATTGACCTTGAATTTTTTTGATTGTTGATAAGCAAACAACAGCTGCTAAGAGACATGGGATTGAAAGAGGGACTGATGAAATAAATTAGCCTAGATATTTTAAGAATGACTTAACTTTAAAATGAGAGTAAAAAATGTATTGCTTTGGAGAAGTTTTGCTTTTGTTTTCACAGGAAACAGAGGCTGTGGATTCCTTCAGGATTGATGTGGATCTGGTTTGATCAGGGAAGACCTCCTGAAACTTGACAGGTGAAATCTATCAACAAAGGTTATAACTGGTCTTTCCAGGTCTTGGTTATTGCCTCAATTTTCTCAGGGACCCCTAATGATGCATTTGCCCACAGACAACAGGAAACAGTCTAGAGAATGATGTCCACATTCCCAAGAGGTGGGGTGTGGATGGGTGGTGGTTATTTGGTGGGTTATGGATGTTTGTTATCACTCAGGGGAATATAATTATACAGGATAAAAAGACAACTATTAATCTCAGATAGTTTGCTTTTGCATGGATTTTCGTACATTGATATAAATTTAAAGTCATTTTTGTTACAATGTATGTATGTTTCTGCTTGTTTGGGGTATTGTGCTTATGTAGTTCATTTAAAAATGTAATGTATTAACTAAGAAATAAGGTTAGTAGTTAATCTATAATAATCAAACTTAATAAGTCACATTAGGTATGTTTTCAAGGTGAAACAGGTATATTTTAGATAGATGATTTTCAAACACTTCAAAGACCTACAGAATATGGCGTTTAAGATGTTTAATAACCTAAGGTCTTTTTCATGACAATCAGACACATCTGCTCCTGGAAGTACCAATTTACTTCATAAAAGGTTGATGGGCATTGAAGAGACTCCTTATGGAGTTTGCTTTCAATGTGGCAAGGCTAGCCATTTGGGCAAGAAACTGCTCTTGCCTTGACTGCTGACAGTATGCTGGATAGACTGGAGCACAGCACTGGGGCAACATCCCAAGTGGCTGCTCCAAGGTCCCTCCTCTAGACAGCCAGCTGCTTGATCTTTGTTCTTCATGATGGCCCTGAACTGCCTGTCTCCAGCTGTATAGACACAGTCTGGCCACACCTGACATGGTTGTTGGAGATTTGAACCCAGATCCTCATGCTTGCATAGGAAGCATGATCATTTTCCCCACCCACAGTCTGTTTCTCAAGTGGACCTCGGTTAGGTAGCCAGAGAAGCTGAAACTTAGTGCAAGCACTCAATGTCGTTCCCCAGACAGACCATCTTAATGAAGACAAGTGCAATGATGGTTAGGAGTCAGTGGAACGGGACATTCTGCACATCTGGAAAACCATCTGACAGCATGGGCCATGAGACAAGTGCAATG